CTGTGTCGTCTGAACACACTCCGCTGTTCGTGTGTCTGTGTCGTCTGAACACACTCCGCTGTTCGTGTGTCTGTGTCGTCTGAACACGGAAATTGAGGCTAAGAAGCGTAGTATCAGAGATGGAATTTGGCCCCTTCTTGCTTGCCACTCATGGGTTATTACATAGCAGTGCTGGGAAACTAATGTGTGCTAACAGACAAGAAAATTGCCTTTGTCTTTTAAGATTTTAAGGGATTCCATCATTTTCAGGCATTTGTAATAGGTTCTTGAGTCATTTTATTATTTCATGTCATCCCGTGTTACCAGTGGAATCAGGATAAAATGCTGGCGTGTTTTGAAGACTTCTCAGAGTGTATTGTGACTGAGTTCTCCGTTTTGGCTTCAGGTGGTATTCATGCCTTCTGTCAGTAAATGTTTTTGTGCATTCCTACACATCATATAGTAAATGAATAAAATCAACACTTAGAATGATGGTGCCTGTCTGTGTTTTATATGGAGCCTCAAAAAAACTTTGACTAAATCCCAAGATCACCTTTGTGCCCAGGGGTCATTAGACCACTTCAGACAACGGGAGGTTTGAGGAACGAGCTGCCTCAGCGGACAAGCTGCTGAGGGACCAGTACAGGTTAATTCCCTGCTAAATTTAAAAAGAAGGAAGAAGAAACGCAATGTTCCGGGTTTCTTTTAACATGACGCAAACTACCCAGTTTAGTGCACTGTGGCATTGTTGCGTATTTGACTTCTGAAATTGGGATTTTTAGGCCCAGTGTGCTTTTAATGGCTGGGAAAATAACCTATATATTTTTATAGAGAATTGGAATATTTCTACAGATCTACAGAGTCCCTTTTTTATCATTGCCAGATAAAATTGTGAATTTTGTGTGCGATGACAGTTCACCTAGTTTTCTTTTCAGAGCTGATATTCTTACGTGTGGCTTCACTCGGTATCTGCCTGCTAATGAGCGGATAATCACACCTGTAACTCTATCAGCGCTCTGTGATGTTTTAATAACCCTGTGGTTTGTAGGCACAAGGTGCTGGGCTTTGAAAGAATAGAAATCCAGCTGTTTTCCCCTTTGTTGCTCCTGATAAGCGCAGGTTGTATCATTGAATCATACGGAATGTGAGTCCCCTTCTCCCAGAGTCTTCCAGGGCACATTTCTGGTCTCGGTGTCTGGAATTTTGTTAAAATTGTCAGAATTGCAAAATAAATACATTATAGGCTCCCGAGAACTCAGTAAGCAGGCTTTTTTGAGTTACAGGGTGATATGCCAGCAGCCATATCACCCTGCAACTCACAACTGGCAACCCACTGAAGCTTAGCAGGTATGAGCCTGGTCAGTACCTGGATGGGAGACCTCCTGGGAAAAACTAAGGTTGTTGCTGGAAGTGGTGTTAGTGGGGCCAGCAGGGGGCGCTCACCCTGCAGTCTGTGTGGGTCCTAATGCCCCAGTATAGTGATAGGGACACTATACTGTAAAAAGGCGCCGTCCATCGGAAGAGACATAAAACCCAGGTCCTGACTCTCTCTGGTCATTAAATGGGGCGTTTCTCGGGGTGTAACCCCGGCGTCCTGGCCAA